GGAGAATTTTTTTTGGAAGATGAACAATCAACAAAAGGAAGAAAAAGCTGTCTTCAATCTTGAGGCCCCATCCATCTACACAAGCACGCAGGTGCTCTTCAGTGTCAGAGGTGAGAGACATTGTACCCAAGGGGGACAAGAGGACATGTGAGGTATGTAGCTTAAAGTCACAAACTCAGTAGACAAAACAACCTGATACTTAGGACCAGAGACCTAAGTTCGGTTTTGTTTTGCTTTTCTTATTTATCTTCACATTAGAGGGCAATTCTGCTATTAGATATCACATTTACTGTTTTGAAGCAATAGAAAAAAAAATGGGACTCAATAAATGGGAAACACCCTTGAGAAGAAGACTGAGTGAGTTTTTAGTTCATTAAAATGTTGTGACTAATCAGCCTCTTCTGATGATAGCATACTAATATAATTCTGACTTGTCTTCTTTTTACTTCTAAGACACCGAAAGCTTTTTGTTAGTCTTTTTGTGCAATTGTCAACCAGTGGTGGTTTCAGTGGAGATCATTTTCTGTGTTTTCCTCAGAGGGGTCTTAATTTTCCCTATTAAATTCAAACCCTAAACATTCTAAAGTCAGCAGGATCTAATATCTAATTTACTTATATGTATGGTGAAATCTAGTGCCAAGGATCATCTATGGCCATTGCCCCGCTTCAAATATTCATGAGTCTCCACAGTCCAAAATGCATTAAAGATGGGAATGATGCCAGCAGCACAGTCTTCCAGTGACAAGGAACCTTCTCAGATCAAAGGAGCAAGAAGTTAAAGACTTCAAACTAAACCATCTTTGTAAGCGACATTCACAAAAGCAATGCCAAAACCCACACCCTACTTCAGTTATGAAACATCAATGAAGGAATAACAACAACAAAAAATGGACTCATTCACGCTCACTGCTGACTCATTTTATTGCAACTGCTTCGCCTTTTCTCTTTCTCTGCACTGCAGTCAGACACAGGATGTTACCCACTAAAGCTGAAAAACATTATTAATACTTTCAAAAACAAGATGAATGACTGCTGAGAAATTAATAGCATTTAAGCCAATGTGATTTTGCTAATGGAGTCTGAGTGGTAAGCAGAGACTTGTACAAAAGCAAAGTTAATATCAGAATAAGGAAGGATAAGTGCATGAATGAAGCAAATGCAGGTAATAATTTAGGCTGTCCCTTAATGTCATTTGTCACGCAGTCGCATCAGTTCTTACACCTGTTTTCCCTCTTCTGGATCTGTTTTGATACTGTGGAAATGTTAGCCATGCAGCCAATCAGTTGCATACCTGCTTTCCACTATGATCTGCTTCAGCTATGTACTTGCTCTTCCAACATTAAATCAAGAATCAAGCCCAGGGTTCTAAACCGCTTCTGACTGACAGGATCAACAGAAAGTTCTAGGCTAATTACCTCCTAGGAATAGCTCCCAGCACCAAGAGCTACTACTGACCTACTTTGGAATTAGTAAGATAAATTATCAGGTAAGATAATTAAGTATCATAAAGCTGTTTCAAAGACTAAGCAAGTATTCAAAATCGTAAGTTGGTATTCCCAGTGCATTCAGAGTGGGCTTTATTACTTTATTTATTCAGAAAGATGTATTTGACAGTCTCTTTGATGTAGAAATGTATTAGTTTTAACTCATTTAAGTCCATATACAAAGAGAAACAACTTTCTCTCCCTTCTCTTAACCTCTTCTCCACAAACAGGCACGCAAATCCCTCTGCATAGGTGTTTTACATATTTCCGAGGTTCCTGCTAGAGAGAGTGTGTTGTGGACCATATATCACATAGGATTTTAACTTTGTCTTTTGAAAGCTTCCTCTTTTTCTACTTTAGGTAAATATCTATAATTGAAAAATGTTTTATAGCAGTTTTCTTTTTTCTTACAGAGAAAACCTAATCATATTTTTCTTCCCCTATAGCCTTGATGTTCTTTATAGGTGGTAAAAAAGGCAAGGAAAAAACCAAAACAACCCTCTAAATGAAATCATAGAAAATAGGGGAGGGTTGGTGTTATATTAGCTTATGAGCCATCTGTTTTCTTAAAATAAAAGCAGTAAACTGTTATGTGATGAGTACCATGATTTTTAATGCCATCCTGTAATTAGTATTTTTCTCTCCTTATTCCATTTGCTTTCTCCTTCTCCCGTTCATTTATTTTTTCCTTCCCCATGTGACTTGCTTCTTAACTAGAAAACTCATCTAATTATGAAAGCAAGAACAGTTGAGCTGTGCACAAGCTTTAAAAATTCTAACAGAGCTTTACCTTCATTATAGATGTATCTGAACATCTTTTAGTAACTATACATATTGACACTTGGGGTAGAATGAAAACCATGGATTTCTTAGGTCAAAGAAGAATTAGGAATGGTATTTTTGCCTTTGTTTCCTACTGAAGACACAATACATTACATGATGGCAGTGTTTATGTACATGATATTACTCCATAATAAAGAATCAAGGGAAATTTCATGCATGACATTATGATAAAGATAATGTCAAAGGGAGGAGGGGAAAAAATCCTACAACAAAATACTCTTTGTGTCTCACAGTCGTGCAGTTTTCTGTGTTTTTAAGAGGAAGAGCCCTGGTTTCATCCACAATCAAGAGCGCATCAAAGCTGCCCAGATTCAGTGAATGTTCTCTTCTCTAGTCAGTTCACTCCCCAATTGCCTCCTATTTTACTTTATGGCCTCTTTGATTCTCTGCCTATTTAATTTCATTTATTGCTTCATTATTGTGTCCTTCAGCTGTTTCCTATCTGCCCTTCACGGCCATAACTAACTACAATATGTTAACATACAAAGGTATTTATGTAAATAAAAATCAATACGCTTACCATTTCAGTACCATTCCTTATTGCTTGCACCGGACATTTTAAGTACATTTTATTTAATCGCTAACAACTCTTCATTCTTGCCTGGGAAGTATAATGATCTTCTTGGCTCCCTGCCCCTGTATCCCTGTAATCTTCACAGCTATGGCCACTTAGCCCCCATCTGGAGGTTCAGCCTTATTCCACATTTTGGAACTCAGCTTGTCTCTAGGCTGGGGGTGTACAAGAAAGCTTAGCCAAAAGCTAACTGATTCAGTATCAAGTCAGCCTTTCTGCTGGTTTCATTCTGACCCTGTAATTTATTTCCAAGACCCAGCTGCTTATCTCAGCTTCTTTTAACCAAGGCTTGGTTTTATGTAACGGTTCCAGTAATTGGGTATCTATCCAGCCTCCTCTTTTTCAGTATCTTTTTTTTTTCTCTTAATGATAACGAATTCTACCATGACTAAGGTATTTGTAGTTCCTTTTTAGAATTGAACCACTTCTGAGCCTCAAATTCCATGACTGGACCCTAGAGTCTCTTGAAGACCTTCAAGATGTCAGCCTTGACTGTATCACTTCCTATGCCTACTTTCATACTTTAGACATTTCCTTTCTAGACTACCATTAGTCATACTCTGTTGGGTTGGATGATTTCCCAGTACCTGTTACAGACATCTCCCATTTCTAACCCTGCAGGTCTGAGAGTCACTGGATCTAAGCTGCCTGCAATCTGGCTATCTCATTAATCGAGACATGACAGGAAAAATAATATTTTAATTGTAACTCTGACTGTGTTTATACCTTCACTTCATATTTTCATCTCTGCTTTTCTTCATTGTCTCCTGCCTGACACCCACTGTCTTCATGGGACAGGTATATAGCAGCCTGCTTCTGTGTAAAGATTTACTGCTCTGGAAAGCTATGGGACAGTTCCACTCTTTTCCATAATGTTAATTTGAGTTCATATTGTCTACAGGACAAAGTTTTTTTTACTATTCATAAAAACCCTCAATCTCTGAACTGACACATAACAGATCCTCCAGCAAGTTTTTGGAGGCTATAATTACACAGGAATAAGATTATCTATCTTTCCCTGCGCCAAGGCTGGTGGATTCTAATCTGCAGAGACTTGCCACCTTGCGTTCGTAGCACAACTCCATAATGATTTCCCCCCTACCGTTACACTTTATAAAGCTTCATCCTTGGTGAATTGAACATTTTAACTTAAAAATGATTGTTAAGTGCTCGCTTCGGCAGCACATATACTAAAATTGGAACGATACAGAGAAGATTAGCATGGCCCCTGCGCAAGGATGACATGCAAATTTGTGAAGCGTTCCATAAAAAAAATAAAATAAAAAAATGATTGTTAAAAGGAGAAGTGCTAGGGAAATTAAAATTCTTGGGGGAAAATTGGGAAAAGAAATGAGGGACCCCTGTGAAATTTTAAGTGAAAGAATGAATAGCAAGATAATTAACAACTTGAAAAAAAAAATCATGTAGAATTGTAGACCAAGTCACTACCAAAAGCCAAATACAAGAACTGTAATGCTAACTCTTATACCCGTGTGCCTTTCCATGCAGCACCAATCATTACCCAGGTGTATGGGATAACACGCTTGGCTGGGTTCCCTCAGAAGAGCCTCTAAGAGACTTGATAATCTGCTGCTTCCCAAATCAGCCACTCTGTGAAATGTAATCCTACTCTGCTGCAGACTCATGGGGATGCATTGAATAGATCTAATAGTTCGTTTTTTTCACTTCATCTCTTAAAAGTACCTGTATCCTCAGGATATGCTGAGCTACACCTAAAAGTACCTTATTACTCTTATGTTGTGGTTGTTGTTGGTTGTGTAGCATAGAGTCTGAACTGACCCATAGCTGAACTTCCTGTGAGTTTTCAGAGGCAGTTAGTCTCACAGGAGGAGACTGTCCATTTTTCTCTCTTGGTGCAGATGGTGGCCTTCAGGATTGCAGCTCAGCTTCTTGCCACGAGGCCCCTAGAGCTCCCCTGAAAAAAGTTTTTACTCTCATATTCCTATTTTACTTTTCCTCTTGGGGAATAGCTGAGGAAAACAGTATTAATGATATACCTTATTTTCGAAAGTGATGAATGAAGTAAAAAGGAAGTGGTCATTCTCATTATTTAGTTAAAAAATAAAAAATAATGTTACCAGACATCTTCAGCATCTTCATCACATTCTGCACCAAACTGGCAAATATCACAGGTGGATGTCTCCTTTTGACTTGTTTCTCCTGAGCCTTCATGGACTATAGGAAGGAAGAGAAAGAAACGCAAGGGAGTCAGGTACAGATACATAATATCAACAGAATTAAAACAATTCTGTAGCAAAGTCGGTCCTCTTCCAAAGAACCCATTTGCCATGGAATATCCCTAAGAACCTTGTTCTTGACATTTTTCTTCTTTCCATCTGAAATCAACTCCAACAATAGCATGCTATCCATTATTGTGAACTTTACAAATAAAATAAAACTGGGGACTACCATAATTTTCAAAGTTGTTTACCTAGTTACCAGGTCATATAAAAGTTACTTAATAATTTATAAAATCATTTATTTGGCTCCATATTTAAAGGAATATCCAACATGTATTTTTATTTAAAATGCATGGTATTTCCTCCTTTCAAGATTATAGGTTTGTCTCTTTTAAAGGTTTTTACACATCATTTAAAAGTTTAAATAGTAAAACTGGTCTTGAATTATTAAGTATATCTTCTATTTTCCTCAAAATGCTTAGTACTTAGAAAAAAAATATGGTAGTAGTTTCAGAAAACAATTAGTAGTTGTTTCTTGAATTTTACTGAAATACAGTCAGAATATATGTATTTCACACAACCAATTAAAAAGTTTCTGTTGATAGAGTTAAGAGTGTGTATTTCATGATAAAACGTATTTTTATTCCATCACTGATGATAACTATTGATATTTACGTCCTTTTTTGGTTACAGTTACAAAAATAGATACTACATAACCTAGTTATAAAAATAATGTTCTGAAATCAGGAATTAACTAGTGTAATTTAGGGAAATGTTTTAGTATTTTGAGTGCAATAAATGAAAACTGTACAACATTTTTAGAGTGATAGATTACTACTTATCTCATTAAAAACATGCAGGTAAAGGCAAAAATAGTTTTATTTGGATATTAAAAATCCTAGCAACCTAACTACTGCACAACTAATCTTACTCCTAATGTAGCCTGTATACTAAAAACAGATGCATCCATCAAGAGGGTCAAATACAATTTTACAAAATGTTAAGTACTTCAACAGAAAAAGAGAATAAGCAATACAATATTCAATTTTTATGAGCCCTATTAAGACAACACTTTTAACAAAGACACAGTTTACTAATACAGACTCTGAACTTATCAAACCTAGCCTATTTTGTTTTTACATGATATTTTCTCATTTTGTCTTTGTTTAGTGATAAGCATTTTTAGCTCTTAAAAAAAGGTATGTATTCTTTTATTTCTTTGTATTTGTTGTGTGCAGATTAGTAATTTTATTTTTCTCCAAAAAAAGAACAAAAGACATCTTTTCCAGAGTCCTCTGTTTCATAGGTCTTCCAGAAAAGGCAGACAAATTTATTTTCCCCCTCTGTTCTTGATAATTTGTACTTTCATAAAAAATGCTTTATGAATTATACATATTAACCTCAACTGCAAACCTAATGATGATACACTTCTAAATTTTAAAGTCTTTATAAAAAGATTCTGCTCCCCTAAAAGATGAAATTTTAGACTGAGAAAACAGATAGCACTTATAATAATACATTGTATCATTCTAACACAGACAAGACCATTATAGTGGACCAAGGGGATAAGTGGAAATCTGGGTCTTCACCTCAGGGGAGACTCAACAGCTGAGGTCAGTCTCTTTATTACTTTCTTATTATTAATGCAACACAGAAGCTGCTAATGGGAAAAAGCCTTTTAGTGTTAGCAAGATTAGCAACTTCCAGACTAAAACTTGCATCACTCAGGAAACGTACTAACACAATAGACAGGTCCTTAATGTTCAGTGATAGCCACTTAGTGGCAGCTCCATTTTCCTGTGCAGTATGGAGCCTTGGTTAGGGATCTACTGGAAGTAATCCAAGGGATGAGTTGTCCTGATTCAGAGGAACTAATAATAATATACCTACAGGAAGTCACATTAAATATCTATAAAAGGACTCATTGGTAAAAACTAGATGTTTAGAACTTTTACTGTAAAGAAAAAATTCAGAGGTAGCAACAGGAGTGATATTGTGATCATTCACAGTCTGGAGTAAAATGCCTTTATATTAATTCATCTGTAATGAAACAAACTGTGGCTGACTCTGAGAAGAATGGGAATCCCAGAACACTTGATTGTGCTAATGTGGAACCTATATACTTGGACCAGGAGGCAGTCATCAGAACAGAGCAAGGAAACACTGCATGGTTCAAAATTGGGAAGGGTGTA